TCTTAAGATTTTGATCAGGAGTGTATTTTATTCCTAATCTTAGGATTTTTTTCTCACTCACATTATATTAAATTCGTATTTTTCCTGACTCTAGAAATCATTTCTGATCACGCAGCGATCACTCAAACATGTCCTTCACACATGCAGGAAGTAATATGCATCTGTTTAACATATGTTAATGAAGGCGTGTCAGGGGAGGTGTCTTACCTGCGCTCAGTTCCACATTCATTGTGATGTACAAAAGAAATGCGCGTGGATTCAGGCGTACACACAGTTTGATACATCTGGATTTTTTTGTGTGTACGCCGTTTTCTGGATTTGACCTTAGTCAGGTTTCAGTAAGAAATCCACGCAAGTCTTTGTACATGAGGCCCCTGGTGCCACAATCTAATCAGCTAATTACCTCAAAACACCTGCAATGGCCTTTTTAAATGGTCTTTCAGTCTAGCTCTATAGGCTACACAATCATGGGGAAGACTGCTGACTTGACAGTTGTCCAAAAGACAACCACTGGCACCTGGTCTGAAAAAGAGAAAATATCCAGTGAGCGGCAGTTCTGTCGGCATAAATGCCTTGTTGATGCCAGAGGAGAATGGCCAGACTGGTTCGAGCTGAACGGCAACAGTAACTGAAATAACCACTCGTTACAACCGAAGTATGCAGAAGAGCAACTCTGAACACACAACATGTCAAACCTTGAGGCGGGTGGGCTCCAGCAGCATTCTTTTGAACAGTGGCTGCTTTTTTTGTCCGATACATAAATGTTCACAGCCCTCCTGGCACTTAACAGTAGGGTTGGCAATAATGGCAAAAAAATTAATCACGGTTAATTGTGGTATTTGGTCGATAACGATTAATTTGACGATTAATCCCCTGGAGTCCCTGGACACCCTTATGTCCTCCTACTCACATGACCAATTTAGTGGGAAAGATTTGTTCTTCATAAAAATCTGTTCTAAATTGTGTCAAAATTACAGACTTCAATTTTTAAATTGTGTTGATAGATAAGTAAATTACAGAAACTTTTTTTTAACGTTCGTCATGTTTGAAGCGGAGAGGAGCACCGACCAGACTGACTGGAGAAATCTCCAGTCAGTCCACCTTGTGGCATTAATCGTATTAAATCATCAAGTGCCAAAAAATAATCGATTAATGTTTTTCTGACGATTAATTGCACACGATACGATTATGCCCAACCCTACTTAAC